AAAACAGGGGAGGGCGTGGCCAGTGCATGATGCATCTGACCCATCGGCTGCAACTTTGACACCCCTGATTTATATTGAAAAGTTGTTTATTGTTTATACTACAGATTTTATACCTGCCACCAGGGGTGGGATTCAAATTTTCTAACAACTGGTTCTGTGGGCGTGGCTAGGTGGGCATGGCTAGGTGCATGTGACCATGGGACTGGGTGGGTGTGACTTCTTTTTTTGCAGGCCCCCATTTTGGGGGCCTTCTGGGCCTCAGGGAAGCCTCCTGGGGGGGGGGGCATTTTTGCTCCCAGGCTTCCTTGGGGCTCAGGAAGGAAAAAAAATGAGCACAGGGGGGCACGCAGCAACCCCCTGCGCTCTGTTTTGGGGCCTCCTACACCTCAGGGAGTCTCCTGGGGGGTGTTTTTGCTCCCAGAAAGCTTCTCCTGGGGCCCAGGAAGACCTTCCTGGGCCTCAGGGAAGCCTCCTCGGTGAAGCAGTAAGTAAGCAAGGAGAATCCCAGCACAGCTAATCATAGGAACAGCTGATGGTTGAGAGGGGGAAAAAAAGAAATACCTTAAGGAGTGGACTGGGCGGGCCAATGTTGCGCATGCACAATAAAGACTGATTGGGCAGGGAGGGCCAGGTGGAGAGGGGCGTGGCCAGTCAGTGGCACAAGCCTGTTCTCTAAACTGCGCAGAATCATAACAACTGGTTCTATAGAACCAGTCCGAACTGGTAGAATCTCATCCCTGCCTGGCACACTATTTTTAAGGTTGGATGCAGGGGCACTTTGGATTTAAAACTTTGTTGGTCTATTCTGTATACTATACAGTGTATAGGGTTCACCAGAGATCAACACTTGGGTCTGGTGAGTTCTTGGTTGGGAGATTTTAGGGAATCCCAGTCGTTGGCTAGATTGAATGGTTGAAAAACATCCCCGACAGTAACAGTAACAAAACACTTCCTATTGCTGACAAAAAAAAACACCCAAACCCTTGCTCGAGTGTCGTTGACTCAAATGAGGTTTTTAATCTTCATTCTAAATTTGTAACATATAACAACTCTTTTAAAAAGGTGCAGCTGTGATCTTTGTCACAATGAATATTTTGCCTGCTGATGTCAGACAGCAAGGCCTTATTATTGCAGCCTCCTTTGGGCCTATAAATGCATCAGCACTGGTTACAAGGAAGCCCAAATCTCATTTTAAACATAAACCTAAAGGTATTGGCTTTTCTGCTGTTTGGGCGAGGAGAGTGAGAGTACTAAAGAGCTGTAGCTTCTTGAGAAGGAACATCAATTGGACTAAGCAGCTTGTTCTTATTTAGTGGAAGCTTTTTTCCAATCAATAAGCAAATGATGTTGTGCAGGGAGGACCACAATCCCCCAGAGCTCAAATGAAATTCATCTATAAAACAGGAACCATGTAAATGAAGAGAAAGCTAGAGGCACTTTCTACATAGGGCTTTGGCCTCGTCACTTCAGTTTTGCGATTTGAGATGCTTAGGCAAGACGGGCAGTTTCCTATTGTCTATCTCTCAGGCTTTACCTCTCTCAATGCAGCAAAGCCTTTGTAAGGCCATTCCACCATTTCTCTGGAGTCTCAAAATAGAACAGAGGGTCATTCTGCCATTAATGTAGGCACTGTAGTTGACTCTTTTAAATAAAGCTCCCCAAGACAACCAGGGAAGAAAGCAAGAATGGAGATGGAACCATCTTTATTTTTTTTGGCCACTTCCTCAATAAGTGGAAGGGAAGAGTTGCTTAGGCTCTTCAGCTGGAATTCTCAAAATTGCTGCCTTAAATGATTGCAGGCTTTTCTCTGACAGTTTCTAGATGTTCAGCTGATTTGTTAGGAAGTAAACACACTGGCTCTGTAGGATTATATCTCTATGCCACACTCTCTCTATTTCTATTTCTATCTCTATCTGTAAGACAAGAGAAACAAAAATGAATAATGAATTTGTTCCACAGTTCTTAAAGGACCTGTCTAGCACTATCTATGATGTTCTTTCAATAGCAGACAAACACATTTTACTTTCCTTGTCCTCTTTAAAGTCATTTTTGGTCACTTCTTCATCTTTTGTTTTCTTTGACTTTTCTGCATCGTAGTCTTATTATTTGAATGCTGCATTTTATGATATTCTGTATCTTTTACTGTATCTTTATTTTTAGAATTTTTTGTAAACCACTCTGAGCTCTCTGTCTCTGTCTCTGTCTCTGTCTCTGTCTCTGTCTCTGTCTCTCTCTCTCTCTCTCTCTCTCTCTTTCTTTTGGATAAATATATAATTTTGAAAGCATCACCACCATCACTATCACTATTGGAATGTGAGGGAGACACGAGGTTCCAAATGTGATAAATAAATAAAATAAATAAAAATCACTGACTACAATTTAATTAGCATGGATAGAAATTTTTTTTTCCCTAACTCCAATGACGGAAAACTGTTTAAGATTGGCAATGATAAAAACCAGCCCAAAGAAAACATATTGAGTGGCCTGCCTAAAATTGATTATGTTATGGGTATCATGATATTGTTGTATTGATAAATCATCATAATGTGCATGTTTCAGCTGAAGACTGGAAACACTGCCATATATATCAATTAAATATTGGACCCCACTATTGGAAATCTTTGACAAAAGTATCTCAGTGCAGCCTCATTTATGCACAACTGAGTTCAATCTCTGTCCAAAATGTCTATTCCCAATGCAAGCTGGACAGATCAATTCATCCAGCTACTTTTTTCTTTTATAAATAAATGGAAAAAACTAGCCTGGGGGAAAAGCAAGAAATTGTTGTCTCCTGTTCCAACAAAAAAAAATCTATCTTTTACAGAAAGTATCTATGAAGAATAGCTGCTATCTCTGCTGTACCAATAAAGCACTTAAGGAATATTTTAAATGCAATAATTAATTTAAAACAAACTAGAAGGAATATCATTAAACACCATCTTGGATAAGACCCTGCTCTGAAAAATATTTGTCAAGCTGTTCCCTGAAAACTTCAGAACATCAGATATTACTATCAATGTTGCATTGCTCAAATGCTGATGTTAAAGTTAAAATATTTACCAAAATATATTCTAAAATGAAAAGCCTTTGCACATTACTTTATTTGATTTCTGTGAGTAATTCTTCATTCTATTTTTATTCTAAATAATATTTTTCCTTCTTCTCAATCTTCTTCTCACTAAATACATTCAATGCCTCCGATTTTTCATAATGTAATTTACCTTTCAATCCTGCTACCATTTTCATCATCATTATGTTTATTTGCAACAAAGTTTGATAGACATTATCTATCAAGGGTAACTCATCACTGTCTTTTAGCTCTATTTGGGAATATATGTATAACTAAAGACAACAGTAATTATTAGTAATTAACACTGTTCCTATATAATACATTTACAAGATAGTTCTATGATGGTTCTGTTCTCCTAACACTATAGACACAATTGTACACCTTTTCTTGCAACAATTGCAAGCTGATTAACAAAAGATTTTTAACAAGCTTGGACCTGTTATGCTGCTTTAATTTTATGCACCTTGAAACATAATTGTGAGGTAAGGTTCACTAAACAATGTATTGTTGGTTAAACCAGTTATCTCTATGAATCTTTGATCTCAACTATTCCTGATTATTGGTGAAAGAAAGCAGAATATATTAGTGCTAGTATTATACGGATGTGTTTGTGTTTGTATTGTCAGTGATGTGCAGCTGTATGTAAATATGAGTGCAGTGTTCAGTTACAGGAATATAAAATACAACTTAAGATTTTCCAGGTATGGAAACAAACAAGTACACACATGTCTATGTACTTTGTGGTATTTACATACTCCACAACCTCGCTTTGCTATGTCCCATTTAGATCAACAGGTAATAGAAAGAAACCAAACAGGGAAACCAAATGTAAAGGATAGTTGATGGTATCCCATCCCAAAGAAAATAATGGATTTTGTCACACCTCTAGATAAGGGAAGAGCAAAGCTTCAGATTATTTCTCTGGGCTTGGAATTTAGAAACTGTCATCAACAGGGAAAGTATTGAAAACAGATTAAAAATAACACACACTTCAAACTGCTCTGACAAATCTTTTACAGCTCACAGCAAGAAGGATAGGCAGGATGTCATGAATAAGAAAACCAAGACCGTAATTGTGAAGGAGAAGGAGGGAGTGAAGCATCCCTTGCAGAGACATTTGCCAGCTCTCCTGTAAGATCAGTGCATAAAAAAGATTTTTCCTTTAGCACTTGGTTTTCTTCTCCCTCCCACTCAAGGAAAAATTATTCTGGAGTGAAGAGGCAGTTCAAGTCCCTCAAGAGTCAGTGGCATGGCTCTGTCCTTAATCAGCACAGGTGAGCAAACTGCACTCCACAAACTGGTAGACTTGTGGCAGTGGTTCTTTCTTCTAGCCCCTGAAGCCCCCAATTAACTTCTGAAAACGTGAGGATATGATACAATTATACAATTCTGTTAAACGCCCCCCCCCCCCCCACATGACGCAGAAGATTACATTACCCGGACAGGAAATTAATTAGACGATTGTCCAATTTGACCCTTATTCTGAAACCTTGTTCTCCATATTCTAAACACTTTTAAGGCTGTACTTGTTTTCTGAAAGGATAGCAAGTCTATGTCTGTGACTGTTAAATGAAAAATGTTTGAAGATTTTCACTAAGCATTTTGGAAAGGTTAAGAAATGAAACTGTATAAGGACCAGAGTTGTTGCAATAGGTAAGAGTCAGAAAAATCTCCTCCTCTGGAATTAGGAAGTGTCTTTTCTCTACTGAGGGAATTGACTCTTCCACATCATGTTACAAGTTCTGAGGAGTTTAAAGGAAGAAGTTGCTTCTCCACAAAGGACAGACTAATAAGGCAGGCAAATTATTGACTTGTCTGCAATCAGCTTGAAGCTAACTGCACCGCAGTTATCAAGTGGACATTCACCAAACAGAACAATAAACAAATGCAAGTCACACAGAAAGGAAGTGAAAAGAGCAAAGGAACTTACAGGAAAGATTTCATATCCAAGCCTCGGTTCCGAATCTGCCCCACCATATGATCCCAGCTCCCAGGGTTGGAGCGGCTACGGCCACCAGCTGTCCTCTGCTTGGAGCCAGCGGAGGTCCCTTGCCGTGACTGCCCACTCCGACAGCCCCGAGGGTTGCCAGTGGCTGAGGAGGAGCTGGTGTGGGACTGCAGGTGACCCAGGCTCTGGCTGGTGGTGGGTTGGCTGTGGCTGGGGTTCTGATGCTGGCTGAGTGGCTGTTGGAGGCTTTGCTGGCGCAAGAGGGTGCGCGGGCGCTGGCATTTCGGGTCTCCTGCTGAGGTGGGGATATACTCAAGGGTAGTGGCTGTGGACATGGTGGAATCCTCAAAACTTACGGAGATGGAGGGCAAGGAAAAGGAGAAAAAGGAGAAGAAGGTAAAGGGGCAAAATCGGAGGAAGGAAAAGCAGAGTGTTAAAGAGAAGATGCCCCAGCACAGCATTCTCTCAGCCAGGCATGGTTGGAAGCGACACACTGTCCTTGGGAGCTGTGCCTCTAATTCTGAATGTTTGGCAGCAAAAGTCCCCTGTCCTGTGGCCATTTTGTACCCTTCTGTGATCACGAGATCCTTTCCAATCTTGGGGTTCAGTGTGAGAGTGCTCACAAGCCACTTCTCCTTTTCTTTCTCCCAAGCTTGTAAGGAGAATCAGAATGCCAATCCTCATTTCAAAACTAATTAGACTGCTTTCTCAACGCAAATTCCCTGGTGCCCGTGATGGGTTGCTTATGACATGTGACACATTCCACAATCGCTTTCCCTATTGGCTCTCTCTGAAGCCATTCCTTGAAATGGTGGCGATATTCAGAACTGTCACATATCCTAATCCATTCCCCCACCCCCAATGAAGTTGCAGCCCCATCTTTCCCTTGAATTGGTATAGTACTGTCCTCCAGAGCACATTATAATATTCTTAGGTAATTACATGTAATAATGGTGCCTATCCTCTTTACCGTTGGCTTTATATGCTTTTGAGAACTGCCTGAGAACCAGAAACACACGTTCTATGGTTTGTTGAAGTTGCAGTGAAAGCCCCAGGAACTTGTCTAGAGACAATGACAACCCTACAACTAAGGCAAGGCTATTTTGGATTATTACAGGAGTATTGGGTTTAATGTTTGCTGTTCCTGAACACTGTCCTTTTTCCTCTTTGAGCAAGGAAACTGAGGTAACTGCTTGAGGGAAGAACTAGCTTTGCTACTAGCATGTCTGTTTCTTTAAGCTTCTGTCATTGTCAAAGTGTTGCTAGAATTAAGGGAAGACAAGATGTGTTAGCAGGAGTTTCACCATTTATTTCCTATTTATGACTGACACTCTTCCATGGTTACTTTTCCCCTGCTCCCATCTGAGCTTAATTTTGGTCAGCTAGGGAAAAAGAAGCCAAGGAAAGGGTTCTGTAGAACTATGAGCATGTACCTATAGGTGTTTCTTTTTAGCAGAGGAGGTAATGGAGAAGAGATTCAACTCCTCTCTCTGATCTTGCCCTAGCTCTCTTTAAAATGGACTTTGTTTACTTCTTGATTGTTTGGCAAGGACCAAAGCTTAATGTCACAGATTTCTTGCCTTCACATCTTGTTCATCCCCCTAAAGCAACTCAAAAGCACATCATAAGGCAGAAAATTCTGCACTTAAGCTTTCCTCTTAACTCTTGATAGTAAGGGAACAAACAGCCCATTGTCTCTTGTCTGAAAGCAGTGCTACTGTTTTCTGGTGTGGCTCTACCTGATTGGATGTCATTCACAATTTTTGATCATAAGGCTATCTCTATGGATTCAGGCAAATTGCAGCCTTTTTTTTTTCATTATGGCCCTTAGTGGATTTGATTTGGAAGTCGTTTCACATCTCACAAAGTTATACATTTTTGTGCAATATTGAACATATACTCAGTGAAGAATATCTGCATCCAAGAACAGCTTCTCAATGAGTGCATCTACATGATATATACATCTGTAAGCAAACATCTTAGAGGCATGTCTTTTTTTGAAAAATGTAATGCTTGAAGTGGCCATCAGGAGTCTGACTACACGAGATATACACACATATCTCTATAGAGAGTGTGAGAGAGGCCTAGGGGTATTTGTCCAAGTAAGAATTACCATTTCAGAAAAGGAAACTCAGGAGTCCAAAACCAGGGGAGTGTAAACACAAGCACCCTGGATAAGCCTCTTGGTGAGGCAAATGTAATGAAGAAATGGCACACCCATCTTAAAACACCCTGTCTGTCTTGTCAAAAGAGTCTTTTCTAAAGTCATGAAACTAAAATGGTACCGAGACCCTTCTAATAGATGTCTGCTCTATGTAAGAACCTTTTCTTGAGCAGTCTCCCAACTAACTCATAAGCCAGAGGGATACCTATGCAGCACACTCTAAAAGGCAGAGGGCACCAACTCTAGCATGTTGCAATGCTCCCTCCATAGCAGTTCTGGCGAGGCCAATACAAAATTGTCCCATGTGATCTGAGATTGTGGCCCTATGGAAAAGGGATGATTAAAACCATAACTCATATCCTGTTACATTGTACCCTCTATGAGGATTCATGGAATCATAATTCCTTACCTGGTAAAATATCTGAGAATTCTGATCTCTTTTTATTACTATCAGATCAGTGTATGATACAGCTTCTTCAAGTGCAGTTAAATTCTACTATATTATCCATAAAATCGGGCAGACTTTGGCTGCCCATTGATGATCTCACCACTAACTATAACATAGTATTACATTTTGTTCTGCTTTGTTCTATTTATTTTAATGTTTTGAATTTTTAATTCTGGCCTGTGGCTATAATATAGGTACTCCTTGACTTACAACAGTTCATTTAGTGACCATTTAAAATTACAAGGGCACTGAAAAAAGTGACTTAAGGCAGTTTTTTTCAGAGTTACGACCTTTGCAGCATTGAAAGTCAGACACCTGGTAACTAACTCAGATTTATGATGGTTGCAGTGTTCCCAAGGTCATGTGATCCCCTTTTGTGACCTTCTGACAAACCAAGTCAATGGAGAAGCCAGATTTACTTAACAGCTGGGCTACTAACTTATCGAATGCGGTGGTTCACTGAACAATTTGAGGCAAGAAAGATCATAAAATGGGGCAAAAGTCACTTAACAAATGTAATAGATTGATTGATTGACTCTAACAGATGCATCTGCACATAACATGTAGTTAGTCGCCTAGTTGGAGGAACAAACCAGGAGGGATAGGTAGGAAAAATATAAGATGGCCACACTCTGTAGATGTGAGAGAGAGAACCCGTGTAGGTATGATCTATAGCCTGTGGACAGTGAAGCACAGGACAGAACATATAGCTTGAAAGACAATACGATAAGTAGGGAAAGCTGTCACAACTAACCACATAGGACAAGCCATTGAGTAACGCAGTGCACAACATAGCTACCCATACAGCCAACTACAAGAGAAAAACAGGCATGGCTGATCATAATGACATAAGACAATGCAGAAAGAAACATGCAGGGATTAGAAGGAATTCATGATCAAGGCTGTTCGCTTACTATGCGGCTGCCCTTGCACATTTTGTTAGGAATTAAATATACTGTGCAAGTTTTAAATTACTGAAAATATCTGAAGAATGGTGGGCGGGAGAGGCTGTCCCCTCATATCAAATAACTCCCATCATCTCCATTGACTTGCCAGGGGCTCAGACAGGTACCTTTCTTGAACCTACCTGTAGGGCTAAATATGAGACGGTCTATATACAAATCTATCTTATACATCTATTCGTGTCTCAGATTGCAAGGACCATCCACCTGCATCATTTATTTGAAACACAGAATACATGTTTTGGTAGAATATGTTTCCAGTTAGCTTCTATATCTTTTTTTAAAAAAATACTTAACTCCATTTATAAACAACCATGCTTGCAATGAAACTGAAAACTGGACTTTTGAACGGGCCAAAAAGAAGTATGGAAAATGCAGAATATGACAGGGTGGTTGAATAAGCAAACTGGTGAAACTATTCCAATTAGGAAAGTTACTTTGGAGTACAGTATTCCCTAAAAGGCATGGCTAGCCATTTGTCTGAGTATCTCACAAAGCAGTGGTGGGATTAAAAAAAAATTACTACCGGTTCTGTGGGCGTGGCTTGGAGGGCATGGCATGGCTTGGTAGGCGTAGCTTGATGGGCATGACAGGGGGAGCATGCTGTAAAATCTCCATTCCCGCCCCATTCCTGGGGGAAGGTTACCACCGGTTCTCCAAACTACTCAAAATTTCCGCTACCGGTTCTCCAGAACTGGTCAGAACCTGCTGAATACCACCTCTTTCACAAAGGGAGCCAATCACTGATACAGGAAGATGAACATGTGAAAGCAGAGAGGAGCACAGTCAGCTGATCACCCACCAGACTTACTGCTCCTAACATTTTTTTCTAGAGCAGCCAGATGGGGCAAGTAGTCACAAAATATGTCACTTGTGTAAAAAGCAAAGCCAAATAAGTTCTTTAGTATAACTAAGAATATTCAGAAACTAAGAGCAGTTGGGGATCTAGCATATTTTGCCTACTACTGACCTTGGCCTGAAACCATCTTTACTCAAATCAGCAGAATTGCTTAGGGAAGTCATAACAAAATAATGGTTGAGTTTTTATAGGGTGAAGGTAGGTAGGTAGGTAGATAGATAGATAGATAGATAGATAGATAGATAGATAGATAGATAGATAGATAGA